GAAAATGGTTTCTTGAGAGTTATGCGCGTGCAGAGGACTGTGGTTGTAAGCAAATCTTTAAAGAGCTAAATAAACGCTTAAAATGTGAATAAATGTGAAGAAAAACTATGGACAATGAAATCCTACCACTCCAACTGACGGGTGCCATAAGAGGTCTTCCGATCTTTAGGGGAGAACCACTCATATAAACAAAATGTAACTAATCGATGACAGATCATGACATCAATGAATCAATGTTTAATAAATAGGTAATCGATGGGTAATCAGTTAATTAGTCATTGATTATATCCGATATTCAATGAGTAATCGGTGAATAATCAATAGGCCCCCAAATTTTCAGTCATCGATTAGTCATTGATTAAGTATCGAATGTAATCTCGCGGGTACGCAAACGATACCAAATGGAAAATAAAGAAACAAAGACTTCTTTGGCATAAATGTCACAATAAAAGCTTTAATTATTCATGATCTTTTACCCGGTAGGCACTCTACGATGGCTGCGTTTCTCAACAAAGACACAGAGTCCAATAGCCAAGAGAGTAAGACAGATAAGTCGACCTTTTGAAAATTTCATTTCTGATATTTCAGTTACTGTCCACCAGATAAATTTGATTTGCCGTTCTGTTTTCGTCATGGCCTACATACTGGTTTTCTAAATGCAAGTTCAATTCCTATTTGGCTATTATTATCGTAAAGAAACATAAACGTAAATTTTTATCACCGGAAAAAAAATTGCTAGAAATTGTATGAGACGTGTAATCAATGACTAATCGGTGGATAATCATTAGATAATTGATAAGTAATCGAACGCATCAATTACTCATCGATGACATCAATGATCGATCGATGTCATCGATGAGAAATCGATATAGGGCACAAAATTTTTGGCAATCGATTAGTCATCGATTACACATTGATTATAGCGAATAATCAATGACTTATCAGTTGATTACCCAATGATTACTCATCAATTACTCATTGATGTCATTTATCATCGATTAGTTACGTCTGGTATTAAATAACAAACAAAGAGACAGTAGGTAGTTTACTTACAATTCCTGCAAGTAAATGAGGTTTGAAAATATCCCTGGTGGGAGTTCTTTGATCTTGTTGTCTTTCAAAACCCTGCAGAAAAATTAATAAAATTAATGTGCGTCAGTTAAACGAAAATTATGGACTGTTTTTGCCAGGTCTTTATAGGCTAACAACAACTAAACTCGCACCAATCAGTTAAAAGTAGATAGTTTTATGCCATGGTTTCACTCCCTATCGTGCTCAAACTAAAAGCGAAAATGGACCTCGTTTTCCTCTGGGCCGCCACTTTGTTACGTGTAATCCTATTTGTAGTTTCATGTTTACAATAGGGAGCTTTAGATCGAAGACGAGACAGATCTGCGACGCTGCTGGAAGTAATTTTTCACAGAAAAGGCTTCCTGCCCATGCTCGACCCTTCAAATTTGACACGTCGTAAAGCGTACAAAACGTGAGTGAAAGGGATTTGGCGCTTTGTAGAAAACGTGAGTATTAATTGTCCATTTTTAAAAACAAAATGGCTACGCATGTACCTTCCCAACCTAGAATTCAAAACCCAGATTCATGTAGAAACTTTCTCGCGAAAATTTACGCTACAAACTTGGCAGAGTTGACTTTTTTAACTTGATATGCAGGTTACTGAGGTTGGAGAAGCGAAGCGATGATGGATCAGAAATGGCTTCTTCTTCTACAAAATTGTTTTTATTTAAAGCAAGTTGTGCCTCCTGGCTTAAGTTCTTTATTATTTTCGGTATTTTACCGTTGCCTTTGCCAAACGTACCCTTGACCTGGCTAGAACAAACAGAATATGATTTTTGTTTTCATGGAAGCATATTTTTTAAATTATAATCTTAGCTGAAATTTAACTCCGCCTTTAAGTTGTTGTTGTTGTTATCTTTTATTAGTCCCATGATGTTTTAAACTAAAGGAAAAAAACGACCTTATCCTGTACAGAGACGTTGCTAATGTAAACCGCTACAAGACAACGAAGCAGCACGTAGGAAAATATTGCCGAAACCCGATCGGTTTGTGTCCACGCGGGAATTCTTGTCAACAGACACAAGAAAAGGTCGAGAGACGAGAAAAAAATTAAAGCTTCAGGGATAACACCATATGAGCACTCCGAGTTATACAACGCTTAAGATACGATCGTAGCTTTAGAAGAATCAAGTGCAGAAGATGCAAGTTTTTTCCAAGCGGAAATCTGCTTTATATTCAGCTGGATTTTTCTTTTATTTTTCATTCCGAGCACCTTAACATCATATTTAATTTTGGGCTTCATTAAACGATCCTATCTTTTATTTTTGTGAAAATAAAAAAATGTATTGAACTTGCGCGTCGCAAAACTAAAGCTCATTTTTCCCGCGCTTAGAACGCCGTTCTCATTCCAGGCTTTTGCTCGGTCACCGCGTTCAAAAAGCCGTCGCGTCCTCGATCTAAAGCTCCCTAATAATTCAATGAGCAGTCCGGATTATCCCGATATATTAGGACAGTCGTGACGTCACGAAGCTATTAATCGCTAAGAAAATGGCGGGCCTCTTTAAAATTTCTGATGCACTCGCGAAATCGCATTGTTTCCAGTCTCCTTTGGAACATATCCGGGACTTTAAGCTGGACAACGGTGGTGAGAGGAAACATCAGAAAGTCATTTTGGAAATCCAGATTTGTAATGCAGCTTCTTATCTTTGAGTTGTCGGGTGGCAATGCGAAGAAGTAGATGTGATTTTATGGTCCGACGCTAAAGTAAGTAAACGTAAATCATTATTTTCTAGCATTCGCGTATTTTTCTTCGAGCTTGTTATATTTTTTACTGGTTCTAGTGTTATTAAAGTTTCATCACTCCAAATTCCACGCTTGTAAACAACCCCGAAATTTTGTAAACTCTCTTTGAATCCGATTGGTTACTACTACATCTCAACACCATTATTGAAGGATGTGAAAACCGCATCTTTCAAGTGTGTAACCGACAATTATGTTATTTCTTTTCTGTGCAAAGTTATGGAAGAGCATATCCAACTCCTCGAGGCGCTTTGCCGAATATGTGGGGAAAACGTTAGTGGAGAACAAGGGAGTTGATAGCACATACGACTGTTACCTCATGCTGCATGAAATGCTTCTTGTTCCAATCATTTTCTCTGGTGGGTAGAATATGCTCTAGAGGGTTCACAATTTTGACTCATTTTGGTTTTGCCACCTGTCTTTATACAGTTTGAAGTCATGAAGTTGCTGTTTCATGCATACATTTTTATTGATTTTCTGTGGCTTTTGTTCTTGGCCGGCAGGATTTGACCTCTGATGCGATTGAGCATTTTCTTTGATCTCTTTTGAAACGTACAGCGTCTTTTTTTTTTGTTGCGGCTAAACAACCTTTTAATAGAGGTTCTAAGTTCCTACGCAGGGGTTTTTAGGGGAGCTCGTCTTTCTCCCTCACCACAAACGCCTGCTCAACCGAGAACAACATTCCTTTCCCAAACTTAGCCAATCAAATTGTACTTTCCAAATTGTGGAAACTTGACCTTGACCGCTGGGTTATCCAATAATTACTCGGTCTGCATGAAACACTGGCAAAGCTTTATGACCTCTACTAAATGTTAGACTCACAATAGCAAAAGTAATATTTGGTCAGATTTTAGAATACTCTGTACACTGCATAACCTTAGCCAAGGAAAAAAAAAACGGTAACTCTAGGGTTACGTTACGTTTTTGTCTTGTTTAGCCTGTCAACACTTTATTTCACAACTGTTGATTGGTCACTTACCACGCAAATGAAACAATGGGAAAGGAACGTTGTTGTCGGTTGAGCAAGCGTTTGTGGGGAGGGATGAAAAACGAGCTCCCCTAAAAACGCCTGCGTGAGTAGTCTACTATGTTGCGAGATAAGCCTCGTTGGTGGATTCCCTTTGGATTCTCTCGCAAAAAGTGGATTCCCTTCATCACATATGCAGGATTCCCTCACAAAAAATGCGTTCCTCCATATTAATTAAGTGCCTTCCTCCATACTAATTAAGTGCCTAGGCTTGCCTCGGCTTGCCCGTTAAGTAACTTGAGCCCGGTTTTCAGACCGTCTGTTAAAAGGAAAATAGAAATAAGAGAAGCGATCGCCTAGCTACGCGAGAAACGGCTTTCTATATCTTATTTAGCGCTAAAACTCAGATATATAAACAAAACACAAACAGAAAGTGGAGTTGAAAAGTCTTTATTTCAATTTAGTATACTTCTACTTATTTAGCGTTAAAATTCGGATATATAAACAAAACACACGCACATATTCACGAAGTGGAGCTGAAAACTCTCTATTTACAAAACCGTTTTCTCCTTTCTATCTCGAGGAAATGAAGAACTATTACAGTCTCAGCGTTTCACGCGCCGTTAGTCAGGTAATTATGTGAGTTCACAAGCTCACCGTTGCATGCAAATTAGCTCTGCAGTAAAAAATCCAAGGGAGCATCTTGACGTATTATTATAAAAACACACACACAAAAAAAACAATTAATAACTTAACAAGGATCAATTGAAACACGCGACTAATAATTGCTCGCGATAAAACCAGACACGTTTCTTAAGACACAAGAAATCCATTTTATCACCCTTTAATAATTGCAAACAGTGTAAAATACTCAGTGATTAAGACGGAATCTATTAAAATAGTCAAAGAAAGGGAGCTATCTTTTTTTTACACTACGTTTCCCTCCTCAATTTTTTCTTTTTATATTCCCTTCTCCACAATTTTATTGTTTTCCCTCCTCCTCCTTAGAGGGTCGTACAGGGGGGGTCTCTCGCACGGTTCACGAACAGAAAAAACAGCGAATCACGGATCACGGCTATCAAAATTTCATTTTCCCGAATCACGAAAATACAAGTAAGGTACTCGTTTTAATAACCTTCTCTTACGGTAGAAAGAGTGTTTGAAGAAAGCAAAATCGTTAAAGGCTAAGTAAAGGCTGCTTATCGGAAATCAGATACGTAAATCACTCTCGATGGACGACTCTGACCATTCGTCCACTTCGCTTTGTAACTGCCCGAAGAAACAACAAATCGTCTAAAGAATCTACCTCGTAATTGTCAGCAATAGGATATTCAGCGTCTGAGTCAGTGTCATACTCTTCCTCCTCTTCTACCTCGGCTTCCTCTACTACTTGAACATCTTCAATGGCCTCGTGCGATGTAGAAGGCGTAACAGTCGTAACGGTCGTAGCAGAAGTAACAGTCTCCTCTTTGACAGTGTTAGGGCTGAATGAGACTTTATCTTTAGCATAGTCTGATGTTCTGTACATGTTTAACGGCAATGTTCCGGCCTTGAACATGGTGGTCTCTTGTCTCACACTTCTCTGTCGTGCAGCCCTCCCATTATTTGTCGCCCACTCAATCATGAGGTCTTTTTCCTGCCCATTTAACTCCCTTTTTGCCTTAAGATGCTCCAGCTTCGGAATGGCATTTAGTGGAGTGCTCTGGCGCAACACGGGATATTATGATTTATCATGTGTGAAGTAGTAGGCACTCCAGGGTACTACACGCTTAATGCTTTCGTATACGGTATTTGCCAGATTCCGTGCGTACTGCAAAAGGGTAGGAAACTGGTCCTTGAAATGACCAACTGCGTGTAGGTTTTCAACCTGAACTGTTAGACAAGAGTACAGATCAATGGCGAAGCTTGGGTTATGTTCTTTAACTAACGCCTCCAGATCTTTCAGTCCATTTAATATCATGTTAACCGAACGCTTTGTCTGATTAGAAATAGTTCCTTGAGAACCGCTTGGTTTACCTGTGCTGGCATCGTTTACATCGTTGCTATGCGACAACGCTTTTTCTGTTGTTGTTTCCAAGTAACTGTCAAGTTCTTCCAGAAGCTCGATTGCTTGTGGTAGGGAACGCATTGGTACAGTCTGATGTTTCATATGAACAGAAAAGGCTTTATACAGGAGACCAAGATGGCCTAAATACTTTACAATGCCTTTTATTGAGGTAATTAGCTTCACAGAGCCTATTTGAGCATCGGTGATGAATATGTTCTTATCGTGCTCCACACATATGCACATAGGCTGCGCAAATGTTGCTTGGTCTCCCTTTCCATTCGAATTGCCTTGCTTTCCTGTGCCAGCAATAACTAAGGCCTCCTCACCACAGATCTTCGTCTTTATTTGCAGGCTTCCAATGTCCACATAAACTATACCAGCGAGATACGAGGCCACGTGTGCGCTTTCACTGCATTCTACAGTTCCGTTTTGTACGATCACGGTTTCCTCGAGTGTTGACATTGCAATACTTAAGATTCCGCCTGGGTTGCCCTTGTGAGACAGATAAAGGATGTTATTGTTAAGGCACATAGACACTGCTTCTGTGCAAGAGGCTGAGTATTTTGTCAAAACTGTAACATTGCCTTTAACTGCCACTCCATCCATCCCTAATGTAATGGAATAGATAACCTTGTCCACATCACTGGCACAAAGGATGATACTATCGCTTGCCTTAGCAATTCTGGATGGTTCGATCTTTTGAGAAAGCTGAACTTTAGTCAAGTCACTTTTTGTTTCTGCATATGTTCTTTCTACATTCTTTAGATGCATGGAGTCGTTCTCGAAGCACCGGAACTGTTCCGAGTGTGTCAAGTCCTCTCTTCTGCAACTCAGAAGTGAGCTCTACTTTTTTGAGATTCTTTACCTGTAGCGTTGGCTTCTTTGCAATGGAAAATAGTTGTATTCTTGTGGGACAGCTTACATACGCTATTCTATCGCAGTAAGCGAGCGATTTAGCTGCACTATGGCATTCTCCAACAATCTTGACATCTGCTGGGACATGAAGCCTAACTACTAGAAGCCTAGTGAAGTTCTTCAGTGGAGCATAGTCCAGAACGAGAAGTTTTCCGTGCTCACCGGGGCAAGTTGCTACGGGATGCGGATATAGCCCTACCTTGTTGGTCTCACTGATTTTGTAGCTGTCTGGGAGAACTGAATGCACCACGCGATCGACGGTGCGGAGACGAGCTAACACAGACTCTTTACGCAAATGTAGTTAGTATACAGTTTATGTCCATCCGATCTTTATTTAGGACACTGTCTCTTGGTAGCAACTTCTTCAATTCCGGATCAGAATCTCGGATTGTGTGCAACATTGACAAACATGCTCTCTCCTCATCCAACAGCAACATCCAGTTGGCGAAGCTACACTTTAAACTTTTGCCTACGTGAGCGGCATCAGGAAGACAAACGAATATAAACTGAGGGGCAACGTTCCATGAGCTTTGCTCTGAGAAATCAATTCAAATGCTCTTTTGTTCCCAGATTCACAGTCCGATGCCAAAACAAGAACCACCGCTCGAGAACACTGAACATTGGATTGAAGACACCGTTGGCAAGCACGAAGAGATGGCACGTGGCTAAGCTGCCCTTGAGCACGACAGGTGTTACAGACAGAAGCACTCTCTATGCAAGCCTGGCATACACTTTTGCAAATCGCTGTAGCAGGTTTATCAAGAATATGCTGTGATGAAACCGCTGCCTTTATACAACAATGACATGTTTGCAACAGCTCAACCTCATTGAGAAACTGTTCTTTCATCTGTTCTCCTGTTTTGCCTGCCTTGGTTTTGTAGGTGACACTGACTGGCATGGCAACCCCGTTGTCTGTCGTTGACAAATAAGTTACATTTGCCTCTGTCACCCCATTCTCTTTTAGAAATTCAGATTTTGGGACTGGATTAGCCTTGGGTCAACGTAAAATACAATACATTCGACCCTCATCGTACTATACGTACTCGTCCCCTCCATGTCTCGGATGTTTCGATGTTTTGGATCACTGTCTTTTGACCTCCAGTGACATAGGAGACCATAGGCATAGGAATAGACATCTGATCCATGATAGGCATGTAAAGCACGTGAATTTGCACAATGGATTACTTTAATTATAGCGAAGTCTGTTACTTGTCACATTTGATGTTTTCAGTCTTAAAATAAGTCTTCCGGAGCACTCGCATCTCAAAATCACGCCAAATAGAGTGGTGAAATCACGAATATCGGTTAATAATTCAAGTTCTTCACGGGTCACGCAAAACCTTCAGATCACGGATCACGAAGAATAATTTAATAAAATCACGTTTCACGGATTACAAAATCGGCCAATCACGCATCACGGGAATACCCCTGTACGACCCTCTCCTTATACTATTGTTTTCTATCCTTCACCCACTCGTTTCATTTTTCTTTCTCCACGAGACTCTATAAAAGACTGCCAACTGCCATCTTTAGTTCGTTTTGAAACAATGTCTCGTGGAGAAAAAACAATGAAAGGAGTGGGTGAAGGATAGAAAACAATAGAATGAGGAGGAGGAGGAGAAGGGATTTTTTTTAAGAGTAGGGAAGATGGAGTAATTTTGTTTCATGTGTCGAGATGAGTAAGAAAACGTCAGAGATTTCGACGCTGAAGTTCGCTTTGTTGTTGCATGAAGTGTAAAGTTTCACCTCTAATGTCAACATCTTTATTCGAAATTTGCTGATATACCCTTCGATTTACAGACTGCCACATAAATGTAAATGATGTCTTCTTAATCTTTTTTGCTTTTTCTAATCACACTGAGCCTTTTTTCGCATTTGGCGCGTAAGTAAACAACCCGGATCCAAAGCTCTGTTATTTGCTGAAATTCTCACCCCCTGCCCACTCGATCAAGCGAGGAATGTCATCTCCAATTTTCCGCAAATTCTGTACTCTTCCAGCAGATGACTGAATTAGACCGTTGCACAAAAAACGCTTGTATTCGCTTTCAATCATTTTTTCGGTGCAATGATAAGTAAAATAATTGCATTTTTGACTTCACAGCGTCCACATCTCTCAAGGTAGATAGAGTGCGCGGGTAATTGTAAGAAAATATATCTCACTGTTGATTGGTCACATTACCATTCGAAAAAACATTTCGAAAGGATTGTTGGTCTCGGGTTAGCAGATTCTTGTGGAGATGAAGGGAATACGACTCCCTAAAAACGCCTCCGCGCATTGGAGGCTAATTTTAAGGAAGATCAACTGATCTCAGCGTGCAATGGCAATAATAAGGTTGAAGGCCTGATAATCGTAGGTAAGCCAGTCCACCTTACGTATCCGTAGTGAAACTTGAAAAAAGTAAAAGCAAAAATAAGCGACGTGGTAAAATGTTTTAAGCTGAGGAAAGTCGCTTAGCATACCCACTGGTGCAGCAACATGACGGTACGATAGAAAGACCTCCCTGATGGTGCACCCGAAGTGTGCGGCGCGAAGCATATTTTTTAAAGAAACTCTCTGAAAACAGTTCTTTTTGACATCATTTAAACATGAATTTATAATGTCAATTTGGTTTTCAGAGAGGGTTTGACACATTTCTCTGCAAACCGAGCAAAGATGTTTACATCCCGATTACAGCTTTTAAAAATGGTTAAAATGTGTTTGGAGAGTTACTTACAAACTACAAAAGACGACAGTTAGTGAAAAAAAAAGTAAACCCCTATTGTCCGATCAGGCTGCCATGAGAAGTTTCCGAATCATCAGGAGAGTGATATTTTAAGATAATAAGAGCGTAAATTTAATTTGTACCTAATCAGTGCGCGTTTTGATTAACTCCCGTAATTTGAAATATCTAAAGCTATTCACGTTTATAGGCGAGGGGCAACCAAACCAGCTTTACCGGAAAATACCAAGAAAGCGACGTAATTTGAATTGTTGCAGTTTACTTGTAGAAAGAAAATTATTATCTTGAATAATTTGCAAAAAAATCCTAAAAATATACTTGATGAGATCCCCGGAAATACTTTCAATTAAACGAAAATATAGCACTTACTAAGTAAACAACTGATAAATAGTAAAACGATCATCCCTCTAAGGGAGAGGGCATAGTGCCAGATATATACCTCGACACCTCTCGTCACCCACACCGCTTTTTCGGGGATAGCTGCTCTATACTATCATATCCTCAAATAATAACACTGAATAAACAAAAAAATATATTTTAACTGGTTATCTTACAACTTTTCCAAAGAAGAAAGATTTTTGAATATTCTTGGCGGGAGCTTCTCGATCTTGCTTGACGATAAATCCCTGCAGCAAAGTTAAAGTAAAGAGGGTCAAAGTAATCATACAAAAACCTGTAACTTATAAAATATCAGCGAAGGTCTTAAAGGAAATTCGCTTGCAATAGAAAAACCATATTGATCTCACAGAAACAAATTATCGAGCTGGCAAAATTAAACAATTCTTTACTAGATGTTTTCTCTTCTGGCTGTCTTACAAATTCGAGTTATTTTAGGAAATTAAATAGAAGAAATAATTGTACGTCAGCGAGGACAAACCAACAGCGACGATAACAATAATGATACCCATTTTTATTAGATTATTTTAAGGTTTAAATGTAAAGCTTTATATAGTGGAAAAATAATTAGAATTTACCTTTACCGGTGTATCATAGTGATAATAAAGATGATGATAAAGATGATACCGTAAAATTCCGAAAATAAGCCTCTCCATGTATAAGCCCCCCAAACTCGTAACGCAAAAAACCCTCCGTTAATTCGCCCCTCCAAATATAAGCTCCCGGGGGCCTTGTACTTGGAAATCGCCCTCAAGTACAAAGTAAAACAAAGCATGCAAAAACGGTAAATTTCCTTCCAACTATAAGGGTAGCCCAATCGATTTTGAGACGCAAATTTCCTTCCATAGATAAGCCCCTCCAAAAATAAGCTCCTCAAAAAGGGCCTTTGAAAAATATAAGCCTGGGGGCTTATTTTCGGAATTTTACGGTAATTTTAAATGAAGATATGCAGAGGTAATTGCAATTTAAGCTACTGCAAATAAACCCGAAAAAATTTCGGGACTTCAACGGGAGTTTAACCAATGGCGTCTGCGGTAGCGCTGCAGTGCTCTACCATTTGACCTATGATAGCCCCACGTTTTGGGACACTTTTTTTTTTTTCAAATAAACCCGGTTTATTTGCAATTGTTTAAATTGCAATTACCACTGCCACGATCACATCTTCATTTAAAGTTTTTGTTTCCACAGTTCACATCATCTTCAATAATGATGAATGAAAATGATAATGATAATAATAATAATAATAATAATAATAATGAAAAAGAAGATGAATGTTTAGTTCTTAGTTTCGTTTACGGACACTCGTTAAACACTAGGAAACGCTATTGGTGGCCGGGAACATGGTAATGTCTAAAAAATAGTAATGAATTAGTTGATAGATAGATAGATAGTTACTTTATTATAAACACCATTGCAGCCATAGGCTGAATTACGGGATATTTACAAATACTGATGATAACAAAGAGAAAAATAAGAAAAATTATCTACATCTTATAGACATGGCTAAAAATAAAACTTTCCTTCAAACGCTCGGTTTTACATAGGGGGAGAGTGAAATCACTTTTGCGTCTCAGAGCATATTTACAACTCTTCCTTTGGGGGAGAAGGCTATGGAGACTGTGGGTCGGGTTACAGACGATCTCGTCAAACAGATCGATTGAAATCTTTCCTCTCCTCTCATGAAGTTTCGGTAGGCCAACTGTCTCTAGTGCTACACTATATGACAGGTCAGGATGGATGATTCTGAAAGCCCTTCTTTGGATCCGTTCCAAATCTTCACTGATATAGTTTGGTAGAGAACGATGGAATACAGGACTTGCGTATTCCAGGACGGGCCTAATACATGTCACATAGAATTGCACCAGTTCACTTGGTGCCACTCCGGATCTCTTGAGTTGACGTAAAAAATAGAGACGAGAGGAACATTTTCTAATTAGTTCAGAGGAGTGCAGCATAGAGCAGCGTTTATTCATTCTGTGGGAATTTGACGGCCAATTTGAAAGATAAGGCTTTTGAAAAGTTCTATGATTCCTTGGTGTAAAAGAGACTGCATGCTGCATGCTTGAAGGAAGGAAGGAAGGAAGGTTGAAATAGCGCGCCGCAGGTTTTGATGCACCTGTGTCATTTCTTTGGGCATCTGTCCCCTAAACATCATCAATGATTCGCGCGCCCACGTGTATCTTATTCAACAGCGTACAACAGGTTATGCCACAGATAACGATTGGGAAGGTGAATGCGTACAGTCGAAATTTTTTCCACATTGTAAATGAGAAGGCAAGTTTTGCATTGTACTCGGGCTCATTTGAAAGTCCGAGGTTGATCGTCAGCATTTAGAGCGCTTGTAACTAGAAAGCTGCCTGGTGCTCTTGTCAAGTTAAAGTAAAACAATTACATAGTGGTTGCCAAAAGATCCTCTTATTTTCAGGGTCGGGATTTTGGAGCATTTTGTAGTTTGTGTGTGAAACTGGGATAAAACGATGGGAATGTTAAAAAGTAAGAAAACATCAGGCCAATTAATTTAAGGTGAAAAAGGAAATACACCTACAATTCAGTGGTTGTAGTTGGAATGCAATTCCAGTTGTGTGTTATGTTGCTTTCTCTACAGTTGTGTTTGTTGGTAACTTGACCAGAACTTGTTATCGAACCTGTACTGCGACACCAATGATTGCAATCTGCAAAATGAATCGCGCAAGAATAAGCCAGTTGATAGAGGCAATTTTTCACGAAAGCTGTACACCTCGATATATGCATTAATACAGTATTGATAACGAATTTTCATTTTTACTTATTGATTAATCAAGGGTGAAACCGAATTTCCAATATTATATTTTGGTAAATTCGTATCGTTTACAAACCCAAATGGACACAAATTTCCCGTGTTCAAAACAGTGGCGAAACAAGAAAAAGTACTCTAAAACTTTGTACATTCATTTTCCATCGAATGAACTGAATCATCAACAGATAAAAACTCAACACAACTGTTTGTGCGAACTACTATGGTTATTAATTCAAAAAGAGCTTATTGAATGAAATTTACTAAAACGTTGAATCCTTACCCACAACGATTACTTCAACCGTTTTTGAGTCATTTCCTTTATCGTTTTCTGCTAGTAGAGTGTACTTGTAGGTACCGGCCGTCTGCTTTACTTGAAATCCTTTTATGTTGAAACCGCCCTCCAAAGAAGTTGATGTATTCACTAGGGTCACGTTAATCAGAGGGGTACCTTCCAGCAGAAACCAGATATAATGGTTTGGCACAGTTCGCAACTCCGCCAACGGTAACCTTATCCTCGGCTTTTCTGAAAAAGTCAATTTGGCAGGTTTCTAAGATATTCCGATTTCAAGTTATCAGGTTGCAAGCAAAATTAGAGTTGCTTAAACCTACTTCAAAAATACTTCAAAAATTTCAGCGAATACTCTTTGTCTTGTAGAACACCTCGCTTAACGAAACCCAAGAGTTTTTAGCGGAGCCTCAGCATGCACGTGTGGTGGAGCCTCCATCGCTATGAAATATTGAAACCTATCGGTGAGAGAATATTCCAATAAAGATCTTGGATTTCGTTTGTGCAACTTACGACCAAAAAAAGTTTAAAAGATGTTCTTTTAGCTTGGTCACGCGTTTGTTCACGCTCTAGAACCAATCTAGTCTCAGATTGGTCAAAGTATTGACAGGTGAGTTCATGGGTAAAAACGTACCCAGCATCTTCTTACTTGGGTCACTGAAATGGAGCAGTAGGTAACTATTCGTCGGGGCCCGATATACGATAAGAAAGAAACATAATTCGGCCCGATTTTTCTTTTAGCTCTTTCCTTTAGACGATAATATTGACTCTGACATTCGTAACCTGTGAATTGGCTGTTGGTTGCTACCGAGGAGCTTGTGCATAAAAACGATCTTTTTTTGCTGTAAACGTTATAAGTCTTTAAGTTTGATGGGGGAGTTATTTCATTTCAGTTGTGAAATTTTTTATCAACCACCTAGACCCTCCCTCAAAGGGAGGATTCTTTTTAGTGACTTAGAGGAGTTGTTACTCTATATTATGGATCAATTTATGTTTCTGGGCAACCGAGCCCGGTTTGTTATAATCGTTTTTAGTCATTTACCTCGAACTCTAACGTGAATTTCACGCAAACTCATTTTGCACCCGCGACATCGAAACCCGCCCCCCGACCTTCGACCCGCATCCGCGACATCAAACCCGCACCGGCGACATACAATCCGCGACCCGCGGTCCATTTTAATGATGAGCTAACTAGCATTCTTATTGAGTTCTTATTTTGTCGTTTTGATAACTTACTATCGCTTACCTTTTCTCGTGTAATACGTTCCTTCAAAGATACAGGGGGTAAACCAATACTTCTTTTTTAAAGTCAACATCATGAATCGACCACTTGTTTTTATGAGGAAGGGCTGTCTTATTCCAGTAAAAACTCCCAGTACGGTATCATTTTTCCTTTTTCCGTCATAGACTTGGATCTTGGGTTGATCCCAGGAATAATATCCAGATAGACGAAATATCACTTTGACGGTGTGGTTGGATGGTACTGTGATGATCCACGTACAATGCGTGAATTTTTTGGTTGCACTGCTAACGCTGATGAACCCACTGGATCCGTTAAGAGAAAAGGAACATGCTTCAGAGTTGACAACTGGAAATAGAAGTGCGAAAATCAATATTTAAAACAAAAACTCACAAACTTTACTCTCTTGACAGGCTAACTTTTAACGCTTAACACGTTATAACTGATAAGAATTCTCTTCAGTTCCATAGCACTACTGAGAAGCCGGATTATTATGATCGCTATCATATCTGATGATCATGAACACCCTTTTTAACATACCCAGTAAAATCCATATTTTCACCGGTTTACCGTAGAAAACGTCACCGGGCTGGTTTATTTTCCACTGCGGTTTTCTTCTTAGTTTTGTATCTCTCGTAAAACCTAAAAGGGGTGACAGGCCCTACATCTTTACCGGTATGAAACCTTTGAAAACCCTTTTTTTTTTGTCAATCGTAATTATGTTTTATAGTTTTGCTTCTTTTAAACAAATATGAATAACAAAATACACTGATTTTGTAGAAGCCACAATAGAAAGTGGTGGGGGAGGGGGGGGGGGCAAAAAATTATTCGGGTAGAAACGAACTATTCGTCACTAGATAGGGTTTCACTGGGTCTGTTACAGAAAGACAAATGATGTTTGCAATGTTTGTTTCACTTGTTTCCTTTTTGTGAGAGTCAGACAAATATTATATTTTAATGACTTAAGACTCATTTGTTTGTCTGAGTGTTAGTTCTATAAAAAGTAACTGTACACACCGCCATTGGTAAGGAGATTGGTTGAGGAACATTAAAACTCAGCTGCAAAGAGTCAAATGCAACTTCTGAGCCGAATGGCACAAAATATGGATTCACTGTAGCTGAATGCAAATTTTTGTCGGTTTTACGTTTTCAGAATACGGGAAATTAACAGACTCTAATAAAAGACTCTTATTTTAATAATTAAGAACATTTTTGATAAAAAATATAGTGCTTAATCAAGAAGCTTGTTTGGTTTAAGGCGAGGTTCTGAAAGTTACGCGAGTAAGGAAAGCCGTGAGATTTAGTAACGGAGCTATATGAATGGACAGGGTAAACCGTCCTAGATTATCTTACAAATTTTGAAGAAAACAGTAAAAACAGGTTAGTAATACATTATGTAAAGATGCATTGTAATATATACAGGATAATACTTGAGCCCGAGGCCTTCTTACAAAGCAGCCGCAGAAGGCTGAAGAGCCAGGGCATTATCCGATTGAATGCACCTTTCCATTGTTTTAGAACCAGCAGCTTATTATTGTGGCCATTGAAATGGAACAGTAGGTTATTATTCGTTATGATGACCCCCTGTTTTATCTCAGTGGCCTGTTCTTTCATTCGTTAAATTACAATAACCTGTTCAAAAAGGAAGGATGCATTAATATACAAGGATATAAGCAGACATGGAGTGATGTTTTAATAAATAATTTATAACAACAATTTCAGCATTTCGATTGCCTTAGAACGTTTCAAGTTAACCTCAACATTTTGCTTCTCAGCGAAAAATTAATTCTTGCATATTTATTATCATTTACACTAAAAATGTGTTTGCCCATACTTTGCTTTTGAATTGTTTTGTGCTACACCTCTAGGTGGTTTGTTAATACATAACAGAGAAAAGAAAAAACCGTAAAAGATGACAATACAAAGCAATCATAATTTTACTTGCCTGTAACTGTCCACACTGACACCAAAATTAATACAAGCAAAATTCTTCCTTGCATTGACATCTGCAATAGAAAAAACATAGTAAAGATAGTGGTCGCCTCAAGTGGACTGATTTGCAGTATACGAGAACAGCTGTTGTATTTGCCCCGGGAATATTTTTTTAACTTTTCCTGAGCATGAAAACAATAAAAAATTCCAACGGGCCAAATTACTCCTATGTTTGCGGGTTTTTGCGACTTATTTGCTATCAACAAATTTAGTGCAAATTCATTTATTGGTCGAGTGATTCTCAATACAATTTAACAACAGGTGGACAAAGACAGAGTCAGAAGTTTCAAGTGGCTCTGCCATCTGACTTTTTTACCTGCAATCAAATTTATCGTATCTTCAGGAAATCTTTCCCACGTACTGTTGTGCTTGTTTCACCCACTGTTCACTTTAACTTTTTTAAAGTCGGTTCCAACAAGCGTACTTCAGTGTATCAACCAATGGCAGTAAAACCGCTAACATAAAGGTCATCTTTGGGGTGACAATCTAAGCTAGACACTATTCTGAACGCTCCTTATAAACTATACATTTTCCTTGAGGCCAGTCATCTTCATGCTCATACAGGAACTCAGGTGCAATGATCCAGTGACAATCAATTGTCAGGACCTTTGCGTGTGGCTCTCGAGTCGCATCTTCTGCAGAATTCAAATTAGTCTTGCTATTGTGTGTATAGTATAGTAAAAACAAACAGTTAAGTGACCGCAACTTGGGTTCAGTAGAGACACACAAATCAATAACAACATGTATATTTCTCCTCGTCTAATAATATTAGCAATCTTTCTTGAGTGTGAGGTCAACAATGATTTCAGCGCAGTTCAACGAAGACACAATAGTGAAATTTTCAGTGTGGTTCAGAGAAGAAACAATAGTTCAAAGACCACAACACGAGTTCAGTAAACAACAAGCTTACGGTGTTCATGTTCTTTATGTTTATTAGCCACTCTTCGCTTATAGCCTGGTGTTTGTTTTGTATGCTTTATTACTAGGGAGGGATTGAGGTCCTGACAACCCTGCAAAAATTCCTGCTTTAATTTAAATTCATCGACGTCTAGCTTGCTCCATTTTAATACAGTGTGCTTCTTCCCCATATAAACCTCCAAAGTCAACGCCGTATTTTAAAGCCTGCCTTTCCGAGCAGCTCTCTAAGCTGGTCTCGAGCTTCATCTTTAGTCTCCAAGGAAGTCATTATGTCATCCACGCACATTTGTCAGGGACCATGGCTACTACGAGCGGGTAGTCATTTCGGTTATCTTCTGCACGTTTCCGAACAACGTACTGGGTAAGGTAAAGTGAGGCGCGGTCGCCAAACGTCAATCTTATTGCTTTATAGACTTTCAGAGGTCTCGAGGGGACTAACCCTCTCCACAGGAAGCGGTAGTACAGTCTGTATTCCTTTGCAGTGGTGACTTGTGAGAACATTTCCGTCAGATCTGCTACCAGGGCTACAGGATCATTGCGAAACGTCAAAAACATCAAAAACGTCCTGTTGCAGTTAAGGTCCAGGCAACATGGTATCATCAAGGCTTATTCTGCCATATCTGGTTGCTGAATCGAAAACTATCCTCCCTTTTGGTAGTCTCTTTGTCTTCTCTCATTACAGAAAAATAAGGTAGGTACCCAACTTTCAATTAGGCCATCATCAATTTCTCCTGCCTCCAGCGTCCTGATGTAACCTTTGGATTCATTTGCTTCCATCACCTCCAGTATTTCTCAGCAACGTCCGGCCATCGCATCAAGTAAAATCTGTCTGTTGCAGTATAACGGCGGTTTACTGTCCTTCCATGGAATAGCCACTTAACAGCGCCCCTCAGCATATAACGCCTTGATTCTGTCAACTTTGCGGGCAGCAGGCACCTCTCCTGCTGTCAAAGGCTTGTTTCGATCAGTGATTCCCACCACCTCTTCATCCTAAATCATCCGCATCAGCTCACTGACCTTCATTTTCGGAGTAAAAGGTGCAGGGAATGTGTAGACATGGATAGCAACATGGCATTCGTTTGCTACTTCCGACGACACATGTCCAACTGATTAATCATCCGAGTGGTATGTTTGCCCCTACAGGCTCAACCGGTTTACTATGTGATGTTTAAGGGGTAGAAGGAGTTCCTTATAATGATTAGTTCCAGTCAGTAACTTAACTTCTCCGTGTTCAACAGGCTTTATGATCTACACAATGCGAAGATGATCTAGTTTTCTTGCATTGGGGTACCAATCAACTGCTGTCATTTCACACATTTTGGGGTTGTCCACCACAGAAATACGTGCTTTTTAACGCTCCTATCTACTCTCTGGGCGAACATTTACAGTTTTTGCTATCCGTCACAATCGACGTCACTCTGAAACAACAAACCGTAGTGGTCTACACTCAGCGTTCAAACCCAATATATCAGCGATCTCCTCCTTGAGGTAGAAGACCCAGAACCAAGCCGTTTGCTTTGATCTTTATCCCGTTTTTCCCCTCCAAAATTACCATTTTCATCTGCAGGGTGTGGTAGACTTCACTCTACAGTTCAAGTGATACGTTGGTGCCCCAGTTGCTGAAGTCTATCCTGTAACTCCTTGCTAGGGATGTAATGTCTTAGCCGACAGGTTCAACTGAGGTGGCTCTATGGCTGCATGAAGTTGTGGGTGGGACACACCCCTCCACTCGACGTTTCTTTTAATGAGCACCCTTCATCTCGATGTCCACCTTAGAGGCACCAAAAACACAAAACCAACTTCTTCCCTAATTCCCATCCTTCATTCAGAGTTCATTCCTTGTAAGTTTTACACGATGTCAGTTTATTTTCTTCTTTGCACTAAAAACGTTTTTTTTAGCTCGTGAATTTGCATAAATTTAATTCCGCGCATCCTTCTTGTTCTGAAACCACTTTTTGGGGGTATAATTTGACTTAGGGTTTCTCTTGTTCAGGATTCTCTTTAGTACTTGCACGACCAAGCGCTATCTCTTGGACTTGAGCCACTGTTTCCAGCCACTCACCTGCTTCGTTAACGTCAACTTCCTTTGTCTGAAGCTCTACCTTTCGTTTAACTTTCGCCGGCTTCACCTTATAGCAATAGCGAGTGTTGTAACAATCTGTTCCATATTAGCTGCTGATCGCAAATCTACTTCATGATCATAGGTCTTCAATGTTCTCACAATATTGTGCAAGTTTCTAAAAAACTATCTCAAACTTAAAGAATTTTTATCATGAAATGCTGATATCTTAAGAAACTCATTAATTAGTGACTTTGAAATATGGGTGGGGTTTCCAGTAGAGTCAACTCTGTAATGGCCTTTTCTTACGAATGTACCATCAAGAAACATTCCTGCTATGACCTTTTTGGCAGTTTCCTTAACTTATGCTTTAAGGTAGACCATTTCTCTGTTCTTGAAAGCTGTTGGTCATGTACTTAAGCTTTGAACATTCCATACCAGTTTGGCCACGCCCAAGGATTACCACTTATTACAGGTAAGTGTTTCAGGCATAGTCTTTCCTTTGAGAGGAAAGCCTGTGAGAAATCCAAAACTCTTTCTTTGTGGCCGTTTAGGAATGTCATTCTGCTACAGTTGATGAGTTTCCTGTATCCGGTGTGCTCGAAGGAAAACTATATGGATATTCTCTGACGCTAGAAAGTGTCCTCCACGTGGAGGTAGCGCCTGGAGCTTACAAACAACAAACAGGTTCAGGTTGATCGTGTGACCGGGCTATGTCGCCTTTTTCGCTCGGTTTCATCGTAAGGGTGTACCTTAGCAACTGGACATCCCATTCACCTTTCAGGCAATTTAATAAGTGTGAAAGGTTTGAACCCAGGAGTCATTTCAAAAGTAGGTTGAGTTTGATCGTCCGGCTGAACGTAGTCCTGAATAGGACTGTTGTTGTTGACAGTGACTGACGTTTCGACAACCTGTGCGGTAGTCATCTTCAGAGTCAAAGTGAGTTGTATCACGTCAGTTGATGGTCTTTAAAGAAATTGACTGGGACTTTGCGACATGTATAACGTATTCTACAGACTACTATCAACGTCTTACTTTAGAAAGCTGGTTTACTAACTTAGAACAAACACCACTGAATCTGTTACCAGCGCCGTACAAACGACTTATTGACGAGATCAAGCAAAACTAACTACAAGAAAGCGACTGGAGAACTGACAATTTGACTAACAATAGACGACTGCATAACTGTGACAATAGACGGATCGAAACGCACCAATTACTGATTACGAGTCTTCATAGCCAATAACATCACGGCTTAACCGACAGACGACCAATAACGTCGCGACGCAATTGACCAATCAGATCAATAACCAGAATATAATATCATCAACTGACGTGATACAACTCACTTTGACTGAAGCCAGTTAATGTTTTTGCATTTACAAACAAATTAAAGTTGGTAATAAAAGGCAATGAACTTGAACTCTGGATTTCTCTTCTTTAACAACATGCAACTTTATCACAGTACAGAGTAACAGTTGAATGGTTAACAACGATTGCGCAATTTTTACAACCCTTATTAAGCGGACACCGTCTATTAAAGGGCAACTCTCGCGTAGGACATTTTTCAGAAAAACCTTGCAAATGTTTTTCTCATTGTAATACCATCAAGAAAGATATCTTCAGCGATCTATTTGGCTCAGAAATCGAGATTCAAAGGGTTAAATTTGCCGCTTACTCGAACTTCCGCCATTAACGCTTCGTTTTTTCCTATCACGTGACGTGACGTCACAGGTGTGGAACAACAGATGATCTCGAATATGGCTCACTGTAGTTCTTCAAGTGATAGCGCTACCTCTTTGTCCGATTATTCGGTTGTAGAAAAACTTTTAGAATGCGAAGTATAGGGCAGCCCTTCACGGAAATTCAACCCCGGCGTGGCGTTTTGAGCCGCCTGGAAGATCGTCCGAAGCTGATGAAGTTCGTGCGTCGCCAGAAAACATCGAGCCTACCACTCGCCCGCTGCGATCTCGATAGTGAAGAATGGTGAGTGCCTAGATGGTTTTGAACAATTCTTGTGTACAGAGCGATCCGTAAATCGCTTGATTTCATCAATGCTATGAATGCTTCAAATTGTAAAAGGAAAAGGACTAATTAAACACGCAGCGTTTATAATTTTAGATCATTGTTTTCAAATGTACAAGTAGTCGAAAGCGGACCTTCCCCTTCTAACGACTACTGGAAATGATAATCTGGGCAAGTTGTCTCAGTGTAGTTTTTTTTTTAATTTCTGCTTTAATCCTGGTTTTACAAAAAGCAGTGATTTATATCGGAAACAATAACTACGCTCTCGTAATTCGTTGACTGCAACGCAAATAAATTTCCATATCTTTGCCCCTTGACAGCCGCTCATGCTCGACTCGTGGAGTGCTTGCACTTTAAAATTTGTCTCTTTTGTTGTTATACAGATTGTTATACATAATAACTGAAAGGCTCTGTACAGTCAGTTGTTTTCCTACAAGTCGTTCACTTACTTTTACTGTGTCTTGCTCTGTCAATGAATTTGGTTCAGAAGTTATTATTCTAGCTTCTGTGTATCCTGATGTTATTATTAAGACAATTTAAAGTTGGGATGAGATACACCTCCATACCCATGTGAACTAACTGCTTGCATAAAACGTTTCTGCTCCCCAGTATATGATTTTCGAGGTTGGGACATGTCGTATTCACTTAAGTTTTTGTCTGGAGCACAACAATGGTTATGTTAACTACAATAATATTGCATTTGATGAGATATAACTGCAGGAACTTCTATTATAATACATCCAGTACTGAAAACGTGTACTTATTTGAAACTATTTTGTGGTTATGGGCAGGAGATAGTATGATGAAGCCATAAACGTTAAAGAGTGAATAAGCTCAAAATTGAAATAATATTCTCTGTCTTGACTTATGGCAGTTTGATAATTTTCTGGGTGCAGAATGAAAAGGTCAATATTCAACACCTGTCTGTTGCCCTCCATTAACCGACGTTCAATATTTATGACTAAAGAAAATAACTACTATTGGATGGGGGGAAAATATCTGCTTCCAAGAGGTGGCTGTTGTAAAACGTAAATATTTGGAGGCAGTTGAAGTTAAAAATATGGAGGAGCCTCCTAGAGGAGCATAGTGGAACACGCAGGATTCCAGGCAGTTTGCCTGAATTACTGGGTGTTACGAGCTGCATGGCAATACAAGCAGCAGCATGGTGCCTCAGCATATGAAGAATCAGATCATAAAAAAAGCAGGTACATTGCCTACAGGCAATTGGTAAGGTGATACTGGGGCTCCCTTGGCAGGGACACAGGAGTGACATTACCGTCCTTGATTCCTGTGCAGTTAAGTGCATAAGACCTCATTTCCAGGAGCCTGAAAGGTTGGAGGATGAGATGGAGTTCACAGGATTCCATTGTGCAGGGCCGAGTTGTTCAAAGCTGGGTTAAGATAACCCAGGGTTAGTGCGAGATTTGAATTAAGATCTGAAAGCTTAAAAGGCAATTCAGTTTTAATTCTTTTTGTCCACAAGTTGATGATTGGAAGCTCTAAAAATAAGAGAGAAAATTATCTGAGAAAATGCTTTTGAACACCAGAAAAAGAAACCAGGGTTAAATTTAACTCCGGGTTAAGCGCTAACCGGCCTTCGAACAACTGGGCCCAGATGAATAAATATACCATGTATTGCAAATAACCCTACTGTATATAAAATATGATGCAATTTTTCACCACTGGAAGACTGGGCTAGAGCAACAGGGTTCTCAATAGATTTTTAAGTAGGAGGTGATCACTGATAAAGTAGGAGGCTCTTCATCAAAGCCAGAGGTGTCAAAGCAAACCATCTAAGGTCCCGGTCCGGAATATTCCTAGAATGCATGCCTATACCTGTTAGTGTATAAAGCGTTATCTGAAGCTGAGAAGTACAATAAAGTTACTAGCCTTACCTTTGCTGATGTTTGCATGTTCTATTTTGAAATTGAAGTTAGTCAAACTCCGAGTCGGAATAAAAGTCAGAATCACATTCACTCTCTTCCCGAGATAGACCCAATGCCAATATAACATCACTTTCATCAGAAATGGATTGTTGATTGAGAAAAGAATCCTCCTGAGTACTCTCTGTCTCACAAGCTTCTGTCTGACAAGCTGAATCAACTGAATGTGGAACTGCCACAAAAACAGTTGATTCTGTATCAACAGGAACTTTAGGAGGGAGTTTCCTTCTGTTTTTCTTGTTATTCCACAGAAGAACAGCTGATTCAATCAATTCATTACATTCAGGAGAATAAAGGCCAGGGCCATTGATTGAGATTAGCATCAAAGTATTAAGCATGTCAACATTTATTCGGCTTCTGAGCCTTGTCTTCAACCTCTTTAAACAGCTTGCCCCTCTCTCTGGCCAGACATTTGACATAGGCAAAGAACTTGCAATTTCTGCGATCTGTGGTAGTAATTCAAACCGAAGTCCTTGTTTCAAGGTAATCAGCCTTTGCATACACCACTCTGTTGACGATTGCTGTCTCTTCTTAACTTCTGGCTTTTTCTTAGCCTGCTCTTTCTGCTGCTGCATTCCTGAGGTGGCAGTTGTCCCTTCTGTACAAGATGTTGATTGTGCATGAGCTGTCTTCTTCTTGGGCTTGAGTTCCTCTGGGACTTTCTTCTTCCAGTTTGCAAGATCATATTTGAATTTTCTCCACTCGTCTTTCAACTGGGTAGCCTTCACAGCAGATTCTGAATAAAAGTGGTCTGCCATTGTTTTCACATCAATCTCACCATAGTCAGAAAAACCGACACCTCCAACATCTGGAACTAGCAATGGATCAAAGACTTGAAATGCACTCACAACAGGCAAGGATTCCTGAAATCTGTCATTGATGTTGGATACTAAACATGTGATGTACTTGGATAACAGGTCGGACAGCTGCTTCTCTGTTCCCTGGTTCATTTCTAGTGGTCTAAGCTCTGACAACTTCTGTATCAATGATGGCTTAGCTGAATCGTCACAAGTATTTGGTTGGTTACTTGTGTCCTGTTGCACAGCAGAGATGAGTTGAAGTCTTCCATTAACAGGATCCAAATCAGCTTTAACATTCTTGAGTGGAGTCATCTCCTTCTTAATTTTCTTCAACCTGTCAATTGTGTAGTCAACAGATGATTGCACGGTTGAGAAATTGGTATTGCTGTACTGAAAAGTTTTACTCAATTTTGAGAGCTCTGGGAGAACTTCTTTCAAAATGTACACTGTTGGCAAGAATTTGGTTGTTCTTATTTCATGTAGAAGACCTTTAGCAGTAGCATCACTTGCTGATAACTCTGAGAGAGTAATGAGAATAGCTACATAATCAGCATACACTGCTTGTGTTGAAGCATCAAAGGAAAGCCATCTCGTTGGGCAAGCTTTCTTCAATTTCTTATGAGCTTTCTTGCTAACCTTGTCTGACACACTCAATTTCTTCACTTCAATTTGAACTTTTAGGTAAAGTTCTGTTCTTTTGGGAGAGTTCTCAAAGTATTTCCACAGTTGCTTCATCCAATTTTGAACTGTAGTGATATACTTTATATCCTTTGCAGTATCTGTACATGAAAGAGCAAGACGGTGAGCTAAGCAATGAACATTGATGAGGGACTTGTTAACTCTTTCCTTTAAAAGTGCAGCAACACCTGATTTATGGCCCGTCATCACACTTGCTCCATCAGTAACAATTGATGCCAGTTTATTCAGCTCAAGTTTGAGAGACAAAAGCTTTGTTGTGGCAACTGTATAGATAGTGTTTGCATCAGCTGAGCTGGAGGCCTTGAGGAGGTCTTCAACAAAAAGGAAATTTGTTTTCACTTCCCCGTCATGAACATACTGTATGAAAGTTACTAATAATTCCAGAACTGAAATATCACTTACTTCATCCATTAAAATACCATAGCATCCAGCTTGAGTTGCTTGCTATATGATTGTATCTTGGATTACTTCACCAATTGTTAGAAAAATATCACGAAGTGTTTCCTCACCTTTGTATGAAAAATATTTCATATGCTCTACTCCAGATGTTTCAAGAAGTTTAAGAAGGGACAAAAGTTTGGAGTTGGCCACTTCATGTTTTGCCAGCCAATATGCTGACATAAAAGCAGAGAACATAGTCTTGTCTCCCTTAGCAGCTCTATCTGCCACGTCCTTAGCAAACTGAGAATTTTTCTGCAGTAGCTCTGCTTCAATGGCTGCCTTGTGACGATCAGAGTCAGCATGTGATTTTAATGCAGATTTCTTATATCTCGTTCCAGGTTTCCCGGTAAAGATATCAGCCTGGTTTTGTTTATTTCTTGTTTTGTGCTTGGAGCAGAGAATGCAGTACATTCCCTTGCCTTCAGCATATAAAAGCCAAAAAAATCCAGTCTGGTGGCAGTATGTGAGCTCTTTATCAGAGAGCCATTTGTGCTGGAATTTATCTTTCTTTCCATGAAATAAACTTGCATCTGAATTGCTAACACTTTGACAATTTTGCTCAAGGCAGTGATAATATGAGTGATGTGCACAAGAAATGTCATCAACAAAGTCAAACGTATCAGAGATTAACTTTCTCATCTCACATGGTTCTATAACAGGCTTGGATAAAACTGGGTTTGGTAAAGAACAACCACTGGCACTGCTTGAAAGAGGTCGAGAAATGCTTGAGGAAGAACTTTCCATGCTTGGGGAACCAGCAGCACAAGAAGAACTGTAAATACTTGAAGGCTCACCACATTCTTCAACATTTGTTGGGGTTGGTGGGGGCTCAGGTTCTATGCCTGAAAAATAAAATGCTGTAAGGCTTGTTCCAGGAAATAAAAACAACTATAATGACAGTGATGAAAAAACTGAAAAACTTTATTAATAGTACATGATGTTGTAAGGCCTTGACGGCTTATCATATACGTCGGCTTTCAGAGTGATAAAAAATTTGTCCTGGCACTTAAGGAATTAAAATTAATATTTCAATATCAAGGCACAGTAAAATTTTAAACTTACCTTTAGCTTTCTTCGATGCGCTTTGCGGGAAGCCAAAGAAACTAGTAAGTTCTTTCTGCACCACGTGGCGACGCTTGGCCGCCATTTTGGAACATACGGACTTGTTACAATGTTCCACCGTGAAGGCCTGGAGTCTAGTAAAATGGCGTTCATCGATCCGGTTTTGTTTGGATCACAGTCGTGCAAGAAACGAAAGAGCGATTCGGAAACAACTCAAGCAAACTTGAAGAAGAACAAAACAAAGCAAAGAAAAGCGACTTAAACACAAAGTAAGCGGCTATAAATCCCAAAGTAAGCGGCGATCAATCGCCGGGTGCCGCCTTCTACTGAGAACCCTGGAGCAACTTTGTTGCCATTAAAATGATTTCTACCCAGCAAACAATGTCAACAATAATTGTTGGAACTAAAAAATCTATAAGACTACATGATCTTTTAAAGTCCAATGGTGTCAGTGTGTGGGAAATACATAATTCTTCTCGACTATTTGCTCACAGCTTCTGAATAATAATTGCGGATTATTGTTTGACTAATACTGATGTCACCCTTTTTTTTCCAGCAGGTGTGATTGTTAACTGGGAAATAATGTACAAGTTGAAACTTTATATCTTAATAGTAAAATGGTATTTCATTGTTCATTGCTGTATATCTTTAGGTTATAATGGGAAATCCTCATTTTTAAATTAGAATTCACAAATGGATTGTTTCCATCTTGCATATTTTAATTGATAAGGCAATAATAACAAAGAAAACCGGTCACAGTTTAAGTGGACCATACAGTGCATGGTCATCTAAGTCACTAATTGCAGTAGTGACCTAGCTTAGCCTAAACTACAAAGAATCAAAACATTGCAAGGTATTGTAGTCCTTCTTTAGTTGACAAGGCTGGAAAGATTTTATCTGCTAACGAAAGAACCCATTGCCTTATCTCTGTTGGGCCTCTCTTTGGATGCAGCAAGTAGTGTAGGGGTATTCAGTTGCAGGTTCAACATGTAGCTTTTTAAAGCCCTTGAATTTTCTTAATAGCCAGCAAAGACTTCAGTTATGGTGCTTGAGCCATAACCTTCAATAAAAAGGTTCATACTGAAGGAACCTTGCCTAGTTCTTTCTCCTTTTTCACTCCCGTTATGGATCGCATTTTTCTCTTTGGAATTTTCCAAAAGTACTGCGTCGGGGATTTAAAAACGGGTTAATAATTTCTTTTCTCCTTTCTTGTGAGAAGTCCCAAAGGGAAGTATTGCAAAAGAAGCGTGACACTTGTGGCTATCAAGGCAGTTTTACAGTGTTCGCGGGTAGGACGGGTACAAAGTACCACTAAAGATAATGAAGCAATCCTATTTTAATCAACTTTTTTTGAACTGTTTTCATTTCTTTCCATCCTTAAAAGGCCCATTACATGTAATTTTAGCGTGTGTGCAGGTTTTGCAATGGAATGACGCTACAATCTAGAGAGCACATCTCGAATAACTACATTCAAAATGATGATCATAAAGTCGCAATTTTCGGCGAGAAGTGAGTTTTATTTCGCGTGTTTAGAAGCAAAGATAAATGGATGGAACCTGCAGATTTCAGACAAGAGAACAACACACTTAAGTGAAAACACAAAAGGCGGTATAGAATCAGGCCGGTACGGCGGTCTGTGACGGAGTTCTCTTCAAAGATGCGAGTATTTCTCGGGAAAAAATTAAGTCGTTGTCGAGGAATGAAGGGCATCAACACCCATCAGGTAACATTAATGGTTGTATCAGAATTTTAAATCTGCTATAGGAAAGATGTTCTTTGTATTATACGTAGCAGATTAGGAGCTTAGCTGTTTACAATTATTGACCTCGGGTCGATGAATGTCTCACGCGACTTCAAAAATATCCTAACAAAAAAAAATACAGCAAAGAATCTAAATCACCCGCATCTGATGCCCGTGTAAATTTAAAATTTGGAACCATCATCGAAATGCTTTTCCTGAACGTTAATATGACAGTAGAGGCTCTATTTCTCCTTTATTTGCAAGAGAAATTTGGTGCGTTTTTCTCTTATAATCTTCACTAGGCAATCCGTGTTCCACACGTGTGACGTAAAATCACGCGACTAGCCTGAAATCCGAATGTTTTCAAAATGGCGGCAAAAATCGAGTTTTCGAAAAATTATAAAAAAATAAGTTTCGCAGATATATCCGAAATTTCACCAAAGAGAGACATAACATGCCATTAGGAAACCATAGAGAACTTAAAAAACAGGGGTAATTTTCCCGAGAGTTGCCCTTTAAGCGGACACTTAAGAAGGTCCTGAAGGTGTCCGCTTAATAGAGGTTCCACTGTATTTTTATGTTTCAGTCAGTTTGGTGGCGGTTCCCATTGTTTGAATTAACTCTCATGACAAAGCTCCCTTAAAAATCCATTCTCGAACGGTCAAAACTTCATTTTATTTTGTAACAATATACTACAAACTTTTAAAGACTGTTATGTGTATGGGTTTTTTATAACGCGCGCAAGACCTAAGCGTTCTCATAACTTCGAATGGAAAATAATTACATGAAGAAGTGAAAATAGACACAGTTTTACATCCAGTTTGTCTCTTTAAGTGTAAGCTGCTCTGATGGTTCCTGTCTAAAGTTTGAGGAAACAGAATAGCCATTCTTGCAGTACAAGATGCTAGGGGACGCTTTGTCTTTATAGTGGAGTTTGCAGGAGAGCACTTTTCAATTCTAACAGTAATGGCAACTTCTTGGGGATAAATTGTAAAAAAGAAAACCCAAACTCCGAATATCTTAGACCAGTGGAATGATTATTCAGAAATGTTACTCCTTTATTGAGGTTTAGAAATTTTTAGTCGGTAATCTGATTTGCTCTTTCGAACCTTTATGTAGGCATGCCCCTGTTTACTAAAAACCGCCGTGTTTGGTTGTGTCCAGCGAGGAAACGCTTAAAAACCTTTCAGGTCTGGCTAAATCTACGATATACTTACATTTTTCATTCCTAAAACCTGTTTAAACCACAGCACAAGGAAAATATTTTTAATTTCAGTATATTTTTAAGTTCGTTCTTTCGTTACCATGGTGAGCGAGTAACAAAGTATTACTGCAAACAGACCTTTTAACTTTTATTAGATTCTTTACCAAAGACAGTTCAACCATTCTAGGAATTACTTGAAACATACCTACAATTTGATATATAGAATTTAACCGCCAAAATATGATTTCAGCGTTGTAATTTCTGTCTATATGCCGAATTTACAATGATTAGCAAACTGCCTGCTACTGTGAGTACCGAATTTCCACTCGCTAAAATGTTAACACAGTATGAATTAAAGAGAAGCTAAGTCAGAAAATTTAAAAACAAAAGAAAACAAAATGATCAAAAAGTAAATAAAACAACCAAGTTTAGCACAGTGAAACCGCACTGAAAATTGTGGAATTAAACTAGGGACCCCACGTACTGCATTACATAGTTGTCCGTATTATGGAAATAGGAATTGTATGAGGTTTGATATCTTTACATGGAACCAAGAGAACTGTCCGTAATAAAGGAACGTTCATAAAGAGAGGCTATGAATTCATTTCTTTCAAAAGCTGGCGATAGAAGTGCGATTATCTGCTAAACGGTGACTGACCAACATAGAATCCTGCTGCCAGGAAACGCATCTTCACTGTAATAATATTCTCAAAATACTATCGGTTTATTGCTTGTTTTCTTGCGTTTAAACCCAGCTAAGTAGCAATATTCCTCGACTAAAGTCGACACCGTTGTGAAAATATGCATAGGTTACGTCAAAAGTATGTTTTGTCACGAGTTTGGTTAATGTAAAGCCGTTTTTCGTTTTCGATGCATTAATAAGATTCAGCAAATTTTCATGTGGTAAAGAACCGGGAAATTTGACACCAAAAAAACACAAACATGGGACCCTTTTTGA